AATATTCACACTGTCAATGGGAAGTGGGGACTATCCTAGCGAGTGGAAAAGTAGCTTCATAGTTCCTCGCTACAACTCCGGTGACAAAGCGAGTGCTAGTAACTACAGACGCATCAACATAACGTCAGTCATCTTTCGAATTATGGAAAAAGTGATTGAGAGCTGGATGTCTGATTACCTACCCGGAGAAAACCTCATTACAATGTCTTAGCACGGTTTCATTAAAACACAGGTCTTGCGTTACTAGCCATTTCGACTTCTCCAACCTTATCACTAGTAGCCGTGAGGCACGTAAAATTGTCATTGTTCTATACTTCGATGTACCAAAGGCATTTGGCACAATATACTGTTTGACAAGCTACAACCGATTGGCATTCATGACCCTTTACTTCGTTGGCTTAAATCAGTTCTTAGTGGCCGTGGTCAAATCGTTAAAGTAAATTCTATGCAGCCTAAACCTGGGCTCATAACTAGTGGAGTCATACAGCGTAGTGTCCTTGGGCCTTTGTTGTTCACAACTTACATTAACAGTGTGTGCAAGTGCTTCACTGCAGGGGAAACATTCTTATAAACTGATGATCTCAAGATTGTATACTCATGAACTGAGCAATACGCTATCTACTGTTCAACAAGAATTAGGTGAAGTTGCTGAATGGTGTGACGAGTCCCATCTCAAGTTCGACAATGATGAATGTGGTGGGCTCAGCATAGGCAGAGATAATCTAGAAGTGTCCCTCGAAGTATGTGGACAAAAGCTACCAGGACGCTATTCAGTGCTGGATTTTGGTCTTAGATATTCCAGTGACTTTGATTTCTCTGAACAAACAGCCAGTATCATATCTAAGTCACGTAGACTCCTTGAATGCATCATCCGTAACTTTTACAGTACTGAATCAAGGGTTCTACTCTACAGAGCTAGCATTCATCCAATTTTAGAATACTGCCCGTTTATTCCAGGTGGTCTTTGTATAAGCGACAAACGAAATATTGAAGGGGTTCAACGCCACTTTACATTAAGAACACTAAGAGCTGACTGCAGTTTAGACTGCATCTTCAGTTGCAACATGCTAGGACTGGAACCTCTCTGGGAGAGGCGACTTAGAATGAATCTTATAGTTTACTATAAATTACTCCGTAAGCAAACGCACTCATGTGGTCCAGAATTGAAATGGTTGTAACATCTACCCGCTGTGTACGTAATCACAATGTGTTAGCTGAAAATGAGTGTTGTAAGACCAAATTGCGAAGAAACTTCTTCATCAATAAGTTCTCTCACATCTGGAATAGACTTCCTGGGGAAATATGTACTGAAGGTTCATTATCAGTCTTTTGCTCTTCACCTAATAAACTCCCCACGGACGACAAGTCTATCACTCGCCTAGGCATTATCTATACGTTCTGCGCTAATGAAAACATACTAGGACTTCAATGCGTGTAAAGTAAGGCTATCATAAATCTGAAGTACCTTTTACCTCAATGGGCTCACAAAGGGTGTTTGATTGCTAGTTCATCTGGTTGGTTTGTGCAGTACAAATACATAGTCAGTGTTCCCTTTAAGTTTACCGACAAAAAGTGCCTATCTAATAACTCATGTGAACTTGATTTAAGAAAAACAGAAGAGTTATTCTTGTGTACATGAATTAGAGTTTACATATAGTTCGAATGACTCTATAAGAGGAGAACTTATCTCCTCCCAGTTTGTTTTGCGTGGTATTCCATTGTTCAGTTTCTCCTTGTGCTTTCTTTTCGCTTCTCTTTACAGTGTTACTTTGACGAGAAAGTTGAAGGATTTATTTTGATCAAGAAGTATCTACTTACCAAATATCCTATTTCGCATTATTGGAAAGTAGCGTTAGAATTGTTGAAACGGCTTTCCTGCAGATCAATGTTTCTTGAAGAGGTAGACAATCAATTCAGCTGCCTATCGGTAGCCTAAGTGCCACCTCATACGAAATCCGAAGCACAACCGCAGGTCTCTGACTTTTGGACCGTCACAAATGCAGTGGAAATATGGATAAGCAACTGAATCCGAGAGATCACTTTTCCTAACGGCAACACATCTACAATGATGACATGCAACAGATTTCTCTAATACTCTGTCCATCTAATAGAAGCCAATTAACAGCCAATATAACTCCTTGACAATGCTGCACACCTCACTGTGAAACGTATAAAGTTTTACATGTGTGCAGAATCCAAAATTGTCGATCGACAATTCCTCTAATGTTTAACTACTTCCGCAACAGCAAATATATCCAGTGTTACCAATCGGAATTGGTGCTAAAGATACCATCGAAGGGTGGGAAATGGTTGAACTTAGATATCCACCTGGAGCAGATGGGTGGTTACTTATTCCTGAAAGCATTGCAGATAGTTACTGTTCTTCAATAAAGCCATGAACATAAGAATTGGTGTTAAAATAGACGTTTATCCGAAGAAACACTAGGTTCTGCAGACGTGTCAACCATGTCGACTACTCATAACGCATACACCTAGTATCGCGCATTTGGTGTCTGTTTAGTGTAAAGGATTTTTAGAAGGAATGATCTTAGCCCAAAACGATGTGTCTGTGCTGTAAGGTGATATTTTCCTGCTCTTTCTACAACTTTCAGACACTTTTTATCATAATAGACTTTATTATCCTCACTCTCTAAAGATTCAAAATGCTCAAATGTTTTAGGTTTATCTGCTGGAATTAGTTTGATGATGCGCATAAACCAGCCTCACTCATGCTAAATTCCTAACCTGAGAATAAAATATCCATTATTATTATAAGTGCGAATGTTTCTGGCTGAGGGCATGCATCTGCTCTCAGAGTATTGACTGAGATTATTAGGATGCACAGTTGAATTGAGGTTAAGCGCTTATGATATGTAGGATATTTGAGTGTTCGGTACGCTACTCATCATCACGTTATGACTCCTGTGGTTAAAGAAACGTGGTTCGAAGGAGTGTCTCGTGCGAGACACCCTCGACTTGTCGTGGTATTCATTTCTGAAAGAAGGAGTTTGATGGAAGACGTGCATTTTGGGTTTTCGCAGCGTCATAGCTATGAAGTATTCCTATCCATTGTCAGAAAACGCGCGCATGAAATTGTTTCTCTTGAAGAACGTTTTAGCTCTATATATCAAGGTTTTGCCTGCACATCTGAGTTTCCCGTCACCCAGCGGGTTTCTATTTATAGTGACCTTAAGGGAGATGGTACCAATGGTTTTCTTTCTTGGGCAACTAAAGGACCGGGTTCACTTGTAGCTGGAGTTGATTGAGACCCTTTTACCGAGGAGGAGGTACATTCAGCTGAAACACTGGTCGTGTCAACACTTTCTGATGGTATGCCCGTGCACACAGCAGCCTTAATATTTAAAGGTGATAAGGTAGCCGGACTACTTCTCCTGTGCTTTCTGCATTGGCACGCGGTTTTGTCTTGTGCAGTAGCGATATTTTTAAAGCCGCTATATATCCTTATGTGGTCTTGCAGTTGAGTAGATTTTTTGGTGTCAAATGAAGTGGGGAACTTGAAAGTCATGGGACAACTGGAGTGTGTTGACTTTTTGCACAGACACTTACGGTCACAGTGTATTCCTATTATACCACACGAGTTAAATACCTTTGTCTTAACTTTATCCAAGAGTAGGGTATTAGGTATGTTATTAACGATTGCCTGTTGAGACGGCGATATTTTCTTCATTACCTCCGTTGCCAAATAGTCTATTAAGTCTTCTGCTTTTTCGACATGGTCTTAAACTAAATTTCCATGCTTTCCAAGAAGATATGCTAATGTACGGAAATCCTCAACTATCCTCCGGATCTCTTCCGTCACGGTCTTAATACTATCTGTTTCTGTCTTGTGGTCGCTAATACTGCTACTCGTGACTGATATGATATCTTCAGTTCTAACAAACGGCGTGGGGCATACCAATTCATCGAGATCTGAGGCATATGCAGTAACAATGCTTCTGTCTCACAAAAGATCACCGGAATGACCAAGTCTTTGCTCTTTCCCACTTGAACAGTCGGTTTCAGAACGTTTAGCCTTCGATCTTTCCACTTAAAAAGACATTAAAATCGAAGCTTAGTGTTAAAATAGAAAAACAGCGAACGGCTATATGTAGTATACCGAAACGTTAGTACGTGAGGAGAATGACGGAGCCGTAAACCAAAAATGTGAGACAGATTGGACCATTACCATAAATATATAGTAGTTAGTAGTCAGACGCAGCTGGAAATTTGTAAGCTGATATAATCAGGAACCAAGTGAGAAAGAAGCTCATAGGTTCAACGTAAACGCAGTCGTGGTGCTAACTGTGAAAGCAGTTAAGAAATTGTCCTTACACAAACAATGGAGACTCAGAGGCCAGGCACTAACCCTCCGTAATCTTTAGAATAAACACTTCTGTTGGATATTTAAAGAACACAGTAGTATATTTGTGTACGAATAGCATGTCTGGTGGACTGCGCCAAAATACTACAAGATTTCGACCAACTAGTCAGAAGATCGCTTTCGAGCAACGCAACGTGACACGACAATGTTCAGATTGTCGTGAGTGCCTGGGTCCCGGCCTTCAGTGTGCTGTTCTGAATTCCATCAAACCTTTGGTCATTGGCTTTTAGGGAATTATTCTGAGTACTTCGAGTCCATATTCTCTCTTATCACTCTTCTATGCATATCAAGTATGTATTCAGGTCACTTAAATAACATCCTGCTGATTTGTAGCGAAATCTGAACCAAGCGAAGAACTCTTTACACCCACGGATGGTTCATAGTGATGTAGATTTAAAACTTCAGTTACTCTAAGCCTATCGTTATTTCAACACAGAACGTGGAATTCCTGAACACTGGTTTACTAGATTCAGACAGCTAATTTCTTAATTCTCAATTGGTTGCAATATCTCAGCTAACTATTAGGAATTGTTACAGTCTAAAATTCGTTTTAAGGATCTACACTATGTTGGACAAAGAGCGCGACAATGGATAATGTAAGTGAATGTGACCATTTTGACAGCGGTATTGGTTATTGAATATTGGATATCCCATGCTCGATGTATCCACTCGCTTAGCAGATATTTCTTGGTCGCACTACTTTAAAATATCGCAAGCAGATCCCGACGAACATTCATACACTGTATTGGCAACCAGTGATTCAGTATAAAGTGTATATGTTCAAAGATTTGTTCAGTATATTTCTCCCGAAAAGGTTAACAAGCCTATAACGTGTAATAAAATAAGGCACTTATAAAATTATCTCGGTACTGATACAGGTCCAAGGGATAACTAAGTAACTTTAAGTGAACAGATTATCTATATCTTATTTAACTCGTAAACTGATTTCAAGTGTTATCTAAATTTTTCAATTATTCCCGTTGACCGTTTCCATTTCATTGATTTGTTACATACAAAAACATGCAGCGCTGAAACGTGAGTGATATCTACAATAATATTAACAAATATCGATTCTTATAACTGTGGATATAGGTTGTTCCAAAATTTAGGGCGCACTGCTTACACATTGCATTGCATAAAATTTGGGCGCACTCTGGGACTTTTGACTGTTTTAAGAGACATTTTTAGATATTTCGGGGAATATCATGCATCCCTCCATCTGCGCCGAAGTAAATGCTAGCTGGGGATAATCAAGTTTCGTGTAATAAGATAGCATATATATATATATATATATATATATATATATATATATATATATATATATATATATATATATATATATATATATATATATAACAGTCTCAGGTACAGCTATATACAACTCTTTTTCAAGAACTTGGCTTAGTCCAAGCATATGGTAACATTCCTAGTAAAGTTCCTCATTATAAAATATCAGCTGTATTCTAGAAAATGAATTCCTTCCGTGAATAGCTTTGGCATTTTAGTTTTTGCCCACATACAGCTGTTATGACGAATTTCCTCGGCTACGCCACATGTGGTGTAGAACTATGTTTACACGGTTCTACAGAATATGTTAGTATCCATGATTCTATTCATGAAGCTTAGTACCATTGCTAAGTTCGCCAAGGTGGGCCTCACTGAGCTAATTACAGCTTGATTTGGAGCGTACCTAGAGAGCAGAGAGTTCTTAGCGGAAGCAAGCAGAATCCCGTTAGCCTAAGACGGGTATTGAGGACGGTGATGATACAAGGGGCAATCAGTTAGTTCGTGACGCCTTTGGTACTCACGAATGACCACTTATACAAGTGTATACGTCTCTGCTTCTAATCGCCTGTTACATCAAACTATAGATGACAATGGGTGATGAAGAAGAATTTAGAATATTCTTAGAAAATTTATTGCAGCTGAAGTTATGGATAAGTGAAAATGGCTTGAGATTCAATACGAAAACGTGGGAAATAATGCATCTTCCGAAACCGCAAGGCCAGCTAGGCATTCAGCAATCATGCAATCAGCCAGATATCCACCTAAGACTAACTGGTGCCAACTACAAAAGAATAGTAGCAATAGCGAACTCTGTTATTCACATTCTAAGAAGGCGATTCTGAGATCTCATCCCTGAATAGCTCTTCACACTTTCTGTAACATACATTAGACAACAATTCAAGGATTTTACTGTGATAGCTGCCCATCTTCACTGAAGTAAAACTCAAAAGGAGCGACAAAGCCAGTTGTCAAAGTAACAATCAAATGTGCACACAAAGATCTAAGCAGGTCGATCTACTCACTATTTAAGTACAAGGGACGAGTAAATAACAGCTTATAAGGCTATGCATCAAGTAAACCATTATAACAATTCAGTACTATAGGTTCAAGACTAACAGTCTTGTGGAAACAATATTCGTTTCCCTCACCAGAGATCTTAGAAGGGAGTCACGTCTAAATTCTTTTCCCATAATGCGTGCATCATTAAATGTTCTACTAAAACAAGAGGCCACAGCCTTATTAGTTGACTCATTCTATTGAATTTCGGATATACATGTGAGCTCATGTGGTTTGATGAGGAAATACGTCATTTGTAATTGAACATATGCTTACCTATTCCTTTACTGCTCCACTTTGCATGTGTACAATTCGCACACTACAATCAGCACCAGTATCATCCTCCATTCATCTCCTTTCCTCTTCTCTACTCACACATAACCAAACATCCGGTCTGTTACACTGCTTTTTAGGTTAACAGTTCACTACTAATTTTCAAGTTACTGTGAAAACAGGGATTGTAGAAACTTCATTGATGTTTTCAGCACCTGTGTAGCTCCCCCAAACAACCATCCTATAGTCCGCAAAAGGAAAGCTTCATGCAAATAATAACTGCCTGTAAAATTATACATAGGTAAATTAAAGTACAGCCACTCATAAAGAACCAAGCCTCAAGATATAGGTGTGAGAGTTCAGTGACTGTCAATTTCCTATACTTACAATATCGATGGGAGGCCTCTACTTTTAGATTGTCAGAAATCATAACTGGCATGCAAACCTACGTATTTTTGTCCCCTAAACATACATAGTTGAAAATAACTGTTATTGCTTTTTTGTCTCTTATGGCACTTGGACTTATCATTTGCTATTGAATAAGTTGAAGGATTTTTTCGATTTTTCGAAAACCCGAACACATCAAATTGAGGATTCTATCGCACGGAGTTCCACAGGGCTAGACAGCATGAGCTAATAAATTACCTAACATACTTTATATTTGACTCCTAATAACACTTTAGTGAAGAAGTCAAAGATTTAAGGGTCTAATTCTTTTGACTGCCGGAGCTGGTCAGAAGCACTAGATGTACGGAAATAATTAATGCAACAGCTGGAGAAATGGAATGAATAGTACTTGCTTACTTGTTGTTGAATTCTCACTTATGTCTACTTCAAGCTTATTTCCTGTTAAAGACCTAAGTTCGCCATTATATTTAAAATATTTTCTGTTACAAAACAAGCCAAGATTATATCTGACCAGTTTCACGACCAAAAGTTCAGTGACTATATTTAAATGATATATTCACTATGTTTTCTCCTAACAGTTTCGGAACTTACATTATTCCCACCTAGTTATCTGATCTTCTTTGTATCTTCGTTTAACCCCTTATATTCGAATTCTTGAACCCTTTTTTGTAAGGTTCCCAGTTTTCTGCATCCCTCCACGGGTCACTAAAGCACCAAGTTACTACTGCGTTGGAATATACTTTGTTACTGTCGGCTTAGTTGCCTTGATGGACTACATACTTGAAAACCGTTAAAGTTTGCAAATAAATAACCCAACACAGATCTTGATACATCAAAGTCTAGTGTGCTTTTGAGCTGAAGTGTGTTTTCTCATAGAAACTCACTTTGGTCGCTTTACATTGAAAGCAAATACCGGCTGTCATAGTTATTAGGAAATGTAGTGTTGTTGCAGTGCTTTTTATATGTACCCTTTATCGATTAACTGTACAATGAAGGTATTTTCATACATTATTTCGTACTATTTTTTGTGTTGACCGGTGCATGTGGTCGATATACAAGGCTCCACCTACGGTCTTTTTCTTCATAATATACCTAACATTAAATTTCTGGAGGGCTGCGAGATCTCAGTCGTTTGCATTGCCGCCCCATAGTCTGTGGTGTGCTTTTTTCTGAGGATAAAACAAAGGATGTCATAAAATTAGAAAGGAGTATGCCTGTCAGTTATGATTCTCAGATGGGGACATACAGCTCGCTAAATATCCATTTGTGCTCATGAACAGGTGCAGTTTCGAAACAATTTATGTGAACAGTGTTAAGCGGAATTTTTCAATTTTAAGGATTAGAAATGAACAACACGGTTTTTGAGCAGTTTCTACCGAAAGCTGGTCCACAAGTATTATTGTCATCATGACCCCCTAACTATCAGTAGTACAAAGGTTTTCACTTACAGTTGTCAATTTTTCATGGTTACCGTGTGTCATAACGGTTTGCCAAACAGAATGAACTAGTATGCAGGGAGTTTGTCGTTGACGAACAATTCTCATCTGGTTTTTCAGGTATAAAAAATTCCTTTTTTTAACCAGTGATTCACTCAACTTTTGGTCTAAAGAAGGCAATAAGGTGTAAAACATTGTTCTTATTGATTTCTTCCTTGTGATGACGCTACTACGACAAAAGAGAAAAAGCCAAAAATCTCAACCACCTCTTCGTGTGAACATGATTCATGACTGTGTTTTTTGAAATGACGTGTATATGATCTTCTTCACCGTTTGGATGTTATTGATTCATGTGAGCACAGAAACGTTCTACATGTGGAGCAATATACTTGGAACTCTAAATTGCTAGCCTTACGAACATTTCAAACCCTCAACTACGATATTATCTCACCCATGTCATTGGTTTACTAACACAATATCACTTTACGTTAATATAACAGATGTTTCTTGGGTGGATATTATAAATTTACTAAGTACCATTATATACAATCAAATGTTGGCACATAGATCACAGTGAAATTGGCTATCATGAGATTGCAAAAGCTGTTAATTTCGCCTAGGTATGTAGAAATCTTGCGATGAAATGAATTAGGGCACTTTACTAGTGATGAGATTGTTGATTCGTTTTTAAATCTACCGTCTTACTATCATCGTTCTAAATATGTACGATTATTAATCCACACTATTGAAGTAGCTAAGCTGTGGAATCAGAAACGTTACTGATGTAGCATTTAGCTAAATATTTCAGTATCCTTTCACTTCCCAATTTTTTAGAAAACAGAAGTTTATGATTCACTAGCGGAAAAAATAAATCCGGTATTCTGCCTTTTGCTTGTCACCTCTCTCAAACGCATGTTAAATAATGTTCAGAACCAGGGCAAACTTCATCCTTATCTCAGTCCCAAAATCCCTCACTCAGGTTTGTTGGCTTTCTGTACGGTTTTACATTCCTAGCTACGAACTGTATCCAATGATTCAATCTATAGAAGAGTAGGAGGACTCGCTAATGCGATTCTCAGTCCTACAAAAATCAAAGGTAATAGTGAACTCGAAAACTGATACCCATTCTATAGTGTTTCTAGGTACTGTTTCGTGTGGAATTTTCGGAGCAGTGTACATTTCAAAATATAAGAAACCCAAAGTCATTACGTTAGAGGAGCTTGCAAAGCATAACTGTAAGGAAACTGGAGTTTGGATCTCTTTTAAGGGAAAAGTATATGATGTTACCGAATTTGTTGATGATCATCCTGGAGGTGACAAAATCCTATTGGCTGCGGGGTCTGATGTCTCACCTTTTTGGTCCATATATGGCTTTCATTACCAAGATCATGTTTTAAAACTACTCAATCAATACTACATTGGAGAATTGGAAGAATTGGTAAGTACTCATTATGATGAATTTTGTGAAACCTGAATTAACTTCAACTATCTTTGATCGTGAAAAACCTGAGGAATCTCATTCCTTATTCAAAGTCTTTTAGACATAAAGTGCCGAAGCTGTATTATTACATATATCAGACTTTCTTTGTTAAAACTAGGTTAAAATTTCAAACTGGAGAAAGTGTTAAAGTTACAAATAACATTGTTTCGGACAAATAGGCATGCAGCTATGACTGAGTGACTGTTAACCACTGGACCATGGGTTTGAGCCCCCCTCCATCTACTGAAATTCAGGCAACCAGCTAGTAGCCCTCACGCAATCGGTTTGGGTCATCGCCTACTGAACGAATATGCACAAGGTGACTGAGTGGTTTTTTCGTTTCGTTTCCATATCGGTGAATATTTTCACATTTCAGTGAGCCATTTCACCGGTGGGTTACATTTATACCTTTTGTCCCACTACTAACGTGACTTATTTATTGCATGGCGTAAATGTAAAATATAGGTTTGATTAATAACCGTGTCTTCGCATTAAGCATAATTAGCTAGGTACTTGTTGCTCAGGTCATGGTAAAGCAGAAAATAATCTTCATTTCAACAAAATAATTAAGACAACCATAAATTACTTTCTATGAAATTCATTTTACGTTAGCACTGGCGTTGGGTGGTAGGACTTGATAGTAGAAAGAGATCCAATACTTAATGATAGTCAATATCGACTGAAGATTTTTCAGCTTTAGAAATGTGGGCTAAAATAGTGCTCATTTCGCACTTGGACTTGATTAAGATAAGCTCCAAATCTGTAGTCAGTCACCTGACTTACTATCTAATTTTTTAAAGTCTTTGTTCTTCTCAGGAGTGGATAACCGTCACAATCATCTAGAAAATAACCGCATTACCTACTTCCGTTTGGCGATTTTCAGCAGTCCTTTACGCATTTGATCTTTGCATTTACTACTAAGTAGTGACTGCTACACTCCCATAGACTTGTTTGTTCTGAGTTACACATGATTTTATTTTTCGCTCTTTTGAAAATTATCATGAATGAGTTATTTAGAATCATTTATTTTGGACGAATTTATTCAGATTCATTTAGCTGTTTAAACCTTACTAGTGTGTTACCATCAAAATATCTGGCGTGTTTATAATTTTTTTAATCGAAGAACTTTAGATCTAATGCTACTTCATGAATATTTTGTTTAGCAGAAAGCAATTCATTCAACTTAACTTTCAAAGGGTGAAGTTAAACAAATATTCTGAGTGGTATACCGCAGTCTATTAGACGTTTTAGGTAGGTCTGGTTGATGTATCCAAATGGCAAGTATTTTAATCACAATTGGCAACATTTAGTGGATCAGACTCTCAACATAATTTTTTAAAATTATATGATGTTCTGTGAAAATACCCAGTCTTATCTCCAACGTGTATTTAACTATGATAACATTCAACGGGAATCAATTGGGAAGCAGTAGAGTATAAGTTGGTAATGTTCAGTGTACCTTTACACTACTCGGTTATACTTTTTCGCATGCATTGTTTATCATATTTTTTGTTTGCTCGAGATCTATGGTGCAATTGCAAAAAAATTCATGTGAAATGTTTTCTCGATGGATAAGTAACCTCCGAAGGTGTTTTTCATATTTTTTACGACTGTGAGTCGTAATACTCATTCCCTGGTTTGTTCTATGAGGATAGGCAGTTTTAAATACCAGTCGAAGAAAATTGAAAGACATGATATAAAAGTTAGTAGTATTATTGATCCAAGAGTCGTTGCAACAGTAAATGTATAATCTTTGATAAAAAGTTCCCATTCATTTGAAGGCTGATGGTGAATTGTACGCTGTATGGAGACTCAAATGGTACACACGTTAAAGTTGGTAACTTATATTGCTCTATTTCAAATATTTGACGATTTTGATTAACAGTTATGTCACGTAGGCAAGAACTTAATACATCATAATTTCTATCCTGTTTCTAAGTGGTCTATAGTACTGAGTGAAGAAAAAATATTTTACATAACCAACCAGTTATTTATCATGAGTATTTACCTATTTCACACTCGTTTAATTTACATGGAGGTAAGGCTAACTTCAGGAGACATAAATTTACATTTTTGGATTTTTTATCAATTTATAGTTGTCAGTGATCAACCTCGCCTAGGTAACTAGTTCACTAGTTACTAGCCGGTCTAAGCCCGGACAAAAAAGGAAGGCTGGGCATAGGGCTAGCAACCTCACCCCTTAAAACCAGTCCAATCACTAAGGGAACTTCAAAGTACAAAGAAAATATAAAAAGCAAAGACAAACTTATTCCTCGCTGAAATCGGAGAGACGAAATTACGACGGCTGGTGAAAGCCTTCGGGAAGCCAGTTGGCTGATGTGTCTTCTCTCGATGAAAGCAAAAGTAAACGTGGGACATAAAATGTCCACACCACGTATGAAACTACCAAGACTGCCCAGATTGTAGAAGAGATGAGAAGGTATAGCATAGAAGTGCCAGGCTGGGAATCTGTGAGAGCAGATGGCATGGAAGTGGACTCTCCCAACTGTCAACTGGAGAGGAGTCACCCAGACGACAACCACGAGCACACTGAGTTTTCGAGTGGCTATCATGATATCCCCAAGGGCATCAAGGACTCTTATGCAGTGAGAACCAGTCTCCTCCAGGGTCAGGATCATGACAGCAAGATCCAACTCAAAAGAAAGGAAAGTCACAATCATTTAATGCAACCATAGGCACCTACAAATAAAAAGGATCAAAAGAAGAAGGAGAACTTCTATAGACAACTGCAATCAGTACTGGACAAGACCTCAGCCTAGATGGTGACATCAAAAATCATTCTTGTGGGTGGGGTGACATGAATGTCAAACTGTAAGCGGACAACACATGAAGAGAGCCAGTAATGAATCGAGAGGCACTTGGTGTAATAAATGAGAATGAAGAAATGTTTGCAGACTTCTGCACATTCAACGATTTGGTGATTGAAGGTAGTGTGTACAGACACAAGGATATTCACAAGGCGACATGGATTTGATTTCACGACATGGACACACTAAAAATCAGATCGACTTCATTTCAATATGAAGAAAGTGAAGACGCATCCAGCCTACTGGACACAAGATCAAGAAGGGGAGCAGATGTCGGTTCACATCACTCACTATCCAGTGCAAGGAACCTGCCTTCTAAATCAAGTTGAAAGTCTTCAAAGAAGCTGGTGATAAACCACGGTTCAAGTTTAACGCCCACCCAGAAACTGAAGTGAAGGACGAAACTACCAAGGACATCTTCACGTCGGTCAGTCACCAGTACAAAATGGGAGATATTAAGCAACATCCTCGAAGCAACCTGCGTGTAGAAACAATGGAGCTCTTTGAAAGAGATGTGAAAAGAAACCTGCACAACCATGTTAGAAAGGAAGAAGAAAGAAGACAGGACAAGGAATGGATGTCGACGGACACATGGAAGCTGATAGAGCAGGGAGAGGAGGACGGTGATGGTGAAGCAGAAGATGAACCAGTACAGTGCAAGGATGAACAACGAGAAGAGGAACTGAGCACAACGTGTAAAACACTACACTTGACAAAGAGGTGAAGAAGAGTGCGCGCAAAGACAACATATACTTCTACAACACAGTGGCAAGTGAAGGCGAACAGGCTGATGGCAGGAGAGATAGAGACCTGACAACACCATATCAAATAAGTAGGTTACTATCTGGGAGGAAAGAGATCAAGGCAGACGGAACCAATGAGAGATAGTGAGGGAAACCTAATTACCAAAGAGAAGAAACAAAAGAAACGATGTGCTGACCACTTTAAATAAACTTCAATCGACCACCACCCGCAACTCATCCACAAATACCACCAGCAGCCCAGCCACAGAGCTACCAGTGAACACAAGCCCTCCGACAAAAACAGAAGTGAAGTCTTGAATGTCATGAAGTTGCTGAAATCCAGGAAACAAGAGAACCAGATGGAATTCCGCCAGAAGCACTGAAGAGGATGCAGCGACAACAGCGGACATACTCACACCACTGTTGCAGAAGGTTTGAAAGGAAAGAAAGGTGCCTGCCGAGTGTAAGAAGGGCTACCTTGTCAAACCTTTAAAGAAAGGAGACCTAAGTCTTTGCAAGAACTGTAGCGGAATCATGCTCCTATCCACCCTAAGCACAATATTAAGAGACTGAAAGATGCGCTGGATTCAAAATTACGACCAGAAAGGCTGGCTGGATGGCTGGCTGGCTGGATTCAGGAAGTGCGGATCAAATTGCAACGCTACGCTACGAATCACATAGAACAGAGCATAGAATGGCAGTCAACCCTCTACCTGAACTTCATCAATTGTGAAAAGGCCTTCGACAGCGTCAACCGAGAAGTAATTTGGCAGGCAGCTGCTTCAAAACTACGGTTTTAGTGCCACAAACCTTTATCAACCTCATTCAATAGCTACATGCTGTATGATGCTACATGCCAAATGACTCACAATGGAAAGCTCAGTGATGCCTTTGGAGTGAAGACAGGAGTAAGACAAGGCTGCCGTCTACTTTCACCAATCATCTTCCTGATTGTGGTTGACTGGATCATGCAACGAACCGTGAGGAGAGAGAAGATGGGCATACACTGACTGGATCGATGAAAAGATCCTAGTAGATTTGGATTTCGCCACCGCCACCGCCGCCGCCGCCGCCGATGATGATGATGATGATGATGATGATGATTTATGTCTAATGTCTTGTCGCACAAGCTCGAAGATCTACAGGCAAAATCCAACAAGTTGACAGAAGAGGAGGGGCAGCGGAAACAGGGCTTCCTTCAAGTGAACGTAGAGAAGACACAGGTGATGAGGATACCCAACCAACAACAACAACAACAACAGGCACCAATCACCATCAATAAGAGAAACCTAAAGGAGGTAGTTCCATTCACCTACCTAGGCAGCATCGTTTCAACTACAGGCAGTGCAGATGAGGACGTCAAGGCCAGGATCGGAAAGACAGAAGGACAGGCCTTCATCAATCTGAAACCAGTGTGGAGATCTACTGCGCTCAGCATAAAGTGTGAAACAGATCCGGATTTTCAACACTAATGCTAGTCAAGTTAGTGCTTCTATATAGTTGAGAGACTTGGCGCGTCACGAAAAGCATTTCCAACCAACTGCAGACATTCATCAACACCTGCCGCCTACGTTCGCTCGATACTGAAGACTAGATGGCCAGAAAGAATAAGCAACATGGAACTCACTTTGGCAACGATCTGACCAAGAACCCATCGCCCAACAAATATGCAGAAGAAAGTGGAGATGGATTGAGCATACACTGAGTAAACCATTCGAAAATATTACGCGCCAGTCGAGGCCCTCAAGTGGAATCCAAAGAGGATACGACGAGTTGGGCGTCTGACGGTGACATGGAGGAGATCGTGTGGGAAAGAAATGAAAGCTTGTGGGCAGTTGTGGAGCCCGGTTCAAAAGACTGCAGAGGACAGAGTGGAATGGTGACGTGCTACTGAAGCCGTATGTTCCATTAGGAATCCAAGGGACAAATAATAATAATAATAATAATAATAATAATAATAATAATAATAATGACAAAGTTGTCTGTAAACACTGTCTCACTTTAAATAATCAAAGAATTTCAGGTTGCTTGTTAATGTTTCGGTTTATTTGTTACTCCATTTTCTGTAGGATTACCAGAGTGAAGATGACAGTGATAGCATTTACGGTACTGATCCACCACGAGACGTATTGCTAAAAATAGTTACAAAACGCCCTTTCAATGCTGAAACGTCAGTTTCATTGGTAAGCGACAACCCGATCACTCCAACGGAACTATTTTTTGTAAGAAATCACCTTCCCGTACCTGTGGTTGATCCTGAGTAAGTTTTTAATTATATTTGCTGTGTTTAGTCAAATAGCTTTTGTATGGTCAGGCTGTCATCTATTATTGTCAGTATCTAAAAGTCTAAGACTTGCATAATTATGGCAAGAGTCATTGAGAAGGAACAACTATATCGTTATTTAATCTTAGTGTCACCAAGGCACCTTTTTCATGGACAGTGCGCCATACTTTTTTATTGTCATTATGTCAAGTCTTCCCAAGTTATATTCAGTCTTTGAGTTTTTTCATGCATTGAATGGCTACTTTGACAGGTAATTTGCTGAAAAAGAGGGGTTTTAAGTCCATGGCACACTAGTTAGAAGCTAACCTTTCAAACCGCTGAGTCTACTGCAGATTTTTACGGATTGAGTTTACTCAGTTTAAAATTTTAGGATATGGTTGAAAAAAGAGTAGTAAAAGTAGGACATACCTGACAGTATTGCAAATTGACAGCTGCTAACCAAATTTCACATGATGATCGGATTTTTTGAATCCATGGTATGCTTGCTCAACACTTGGTTATTTTAGAGAAACTGCCACAGTTTTCTGGCAGGTGGAGTCAATAAAAATCTGTAACAATAGAACCTGATCATTTTTTGGGTCACCTAAAGTAGTTAGTGATTTCACGAGACGAAAATAAGCAATACCACTTCATGAACTAGAGCCCTTGGGTGTTTATGAATTATTAATTATGCCTGGCAGGTTTAGGGAAAACAGTCTTTCTCATTCAAGGTTTTTTAGACTTTAAAATGTGTATATTTTAGTCCAAGCACTTAGGATCTTTACTAATGTCTTCATTATTTCACTATAATAAAAAGAAAGAGTAGGCATACCGTCATGGCTTGCTACTACTTTTCGATCCTTGAACATTAATCCGTTTTCGAATTTCATACCTCAGTCAAGATTATTTGTGGATTCCAGTTGTTTAATTGGTACCTATTAAGCATTTGAATCTCACCGGTTACTCGATTCAGGTGCCTACGTTTGTGAAGTAGCATATCTGACTTTAACATAAACATTAGATGCAAACTTTTAACAACTCCTACGTTTCTGATTCATCATTTGTAAGACAGTATTAACTGAGCAATTTAAGGTAAGATATGTGTGAATTTCGAAACAACTGGGAAATGGTTAATTTTCCAATGGCAATACGAATAACCAAGCTTACAGTTACAAGTTTAATGTTGAATGTTAAAATAAGCACCAAATGGAACACTTAAAATTTCACTAGTACTTCTTTCGAATGTCACAATCTGTCATTCATTAATTTCTTTAGATGTCTGTGAATGAATAGGTAGAAAGGTAAATAAACTGGCAGATTAGTTTAGAAACTTTAAAACATGTAGCAGTTAAAGTTGTTGAAATCGAGAGGCTCTAAAAATTACCCTAACAATGACTGAAATAACTAGTTGGGTTTCTTAATTCCACCTGGTAAGTTGTTTTTTGCATTAAATAAAGATCCTAGTCAATTATATCACTGATTGGTCACTGAATTCATTCATCGAAATCCACAACAGCATTCAGAAAGCCACCAGAAGGAGGAAGGTACAAACGTGAACAAAAAATTCTAACAAGACTCACTGAGGTTAACGGGAGGTTCAGAAGTCTGAATTAGATTCGATAATGAATAAATCTGTATTAATCTGACTGGTTTCAAACCATATCACCAAGAATCCCGGTGGGAACGACACAATTCATTGGGAGGCAGGTACATACAGCTGACGAGCCTCAAATAGGACGAAGCGGGCATCCTGGATTCCACTGCTAGCCAATATCCATCTTTACCATATCGTCAAGAGTTTAAATATGCTGGTTCCTAAGGTTCTTGTCTAGTATCCTAAACTTCTCGACACTCATCAGACAAACACTGTGTAACTCACCAAGCTGTTGTGACATTTTGATTGGGTCATCCTTAGCTTTCTTCTTGCCTTATGCTACTTATACTATCAACTGTCAAAAGTTCATGTAATGACCAACAGGTTAACATAGCTATTACGTGAAATAATACCACGTTTTTAGCTGAATGAGTCATCACTTCATAGTTTGCATAGGTTAAACAGCTGGATTTGTTGAAACAGCCTACATTTCCAATCATTTATTCCGTTCTGGGTTGCAGTTTCTTGCATTAAATGCAATTACTAATATTTTAGGTTCTACTTCATTTCTTCATCTGTTGAACCCTAATTCTTCACTGGTGTATGAAATCCAATGCATATTTTTCAAATTTCTAACCCTAGTCATAAACATACCTATGTATTGTAGGACATACAGATTAGAAGTAATATCTCCCGTTCTGAAAGCTGACAATCAGTCATTGAAAATATCACTTAAATTAGAAGATATTCTAAAAAATTATCCTCAGAAAAGTTTGGTTTCTACAATTGTTTGCGCTGGCAACCGACGAGGAGACATGATAAAATTTGATGTTGGAAAAGCCAAACTAGAAAATCGCAGCCCGTATGTGAAAGGTTTATCTTGGTCTGAAGGAGCAATTTCAACAGCAGAATGGACTGGTGTACCTTTAGTCGACTTACTAGCCTACCACCTACTACCAGAAAATCAAAGAAAAGATTATCAGAGACTTTATGAAATGCTTAAAGGGGCAGGTGTACGTCATATTCGATTTGATGGTGAGTCATGAATACATATTTAACTACTTAACAATTTTTTCGCGTGAATTATTATCTTTCTGTAAATAAAAATGACCAAATGTCCAGGATTTTAAAGAAAAAATTTCCTACTACTTGTCTTATATTGTTCATTTCAAAGCACAAACTGATTCACAACACTAGGTACCGTATAAACGAAAGAGTACTCTTAACCATACAACATTCCACTAACTTATCACTATTATCATTATTCCCTTGGATTCCTAATGGAACATACGGCTTCAGTAGCACGTCACCATTCCACTCTGTCCTCTGCAGTCTTTTGAACCGGGCTCCACAACTGCCCACAAGCTTTCATTTCTTTCCCACACGATCTCCTCCATGTCACCGTCAGACGCCCAACTCGTCGTATCCTCTTTGGATTCCACTTGAGGGCCTCGACTGGCGCGTAATATTTTCGAATGGTTTACTCAGTGTATGCTCAATCCATCTCCACTTTCTTCTGCATATTTGTTGGGCGATGGGTTCTTGGTCAGATCGTTGCCAAAGTGAGTTCCATGTTGCTTATTCTTTCTGGCCATCTAGTCTTCAGTATCGAGCGAACGTAGGCGGCAGGTGTTGATGAATGTCTGCAGTTGGTTGGAAATGCTTTTCGTGACGCGCCAAGTCTCTCAACTATATAGAAGCACTAACTTGACTAGCATTAGTGTTGAAAATCCGGATCTGTTTCACACTTTATGCTGAGCGCAGTAGATCTCCACACTGGTTTCAGATTGATGAAGGCCTGTCCTTCTGTCTTTCCGATCCTGGCCTTGACGTCCTCATCTGCACTGCCTGTAGTTGAAACGATGCTGCCTAGGTAGGTGAATGGAACTACCTCCTTTAGGTTTCTCTTATTGATGGTGATTGGTGCCTGTTGTTGTTGTTGTTGTTGGTTGGGTATCCTCATCACCTGTGTCTTCTCTACGTTCACTTGAAGGAAGCCCTGTTTCCGCTGCCCCTCCTCTTCTGTCAACTTGTTGGATTTTGCCTGTAGATCTTCGAGCTTGTGCGACAAGACATTAGACATAAATCATCATCATCATCATCGGCGGCGGCGGCGTCGGCGGCGGCGGCGAAATCCAAATCTACTAGGATCTTTTCATCGATCCAGTCAGTGTATGCCCATCTTCTCTCTCCTCACGGTTCGTTGCATGATCCAGTCAACCACAATCAGGAAGATGATTGGTGAAAGTAGACGGCAGCCTTGTCTTACTCCTGTCTTCACTCCAAAGGCATCACTGAGCTTTCCATTGTGAGTCATTTGGCATGTAGCATCATACAGCATGTAGCTATTGAATGAGGTTGATAAAGGTTTGTGGCACTAAAACCGTAGTTTTGAAGCAGCTGCCTGCCAAATTACTTCTCGGTTGACGCTGTCGAAGGCCTTTTCACAATTGATGAAGTTAAGGTAGAGGGTTGACTGCCATTCTATGCTCTGTTCTATGGTGATTCGTAGCGTAGCGTTGCAATTTGATCCGCACTTCCTGAATCCAGCCAGCCAGCCAGCCAGCCAGCCAGCCATCCATCCATCCATCCAGCCTTTTCTGGTCGTAATTTTGAATCCAGCGCATCTTTCAGTCTCTTAATATTGTGCTTAGGGTGGATAGGAGCATGATTCCGCTCCAGTTCTTGCAAAGACTTAGGTCTCCTTTCTTTAAAGGTTTGACAAGGTAGCCCTTCTTACACTCGGCAGGCACCTTTCCTTCCTTCTAGACTTTCTACAGTAATGGTGTGAGCGTGTCCGCTGTTTTCTTGTGGTTGAACTTGAGCTGTGGTATGTCGCCAACTGTTTTTAGTCTTTGAAATTGGTTTTGAATTCGGATACCTTGCACCAGGTGGCGATTTGTTCGAACCACCTTCTGTTCCTCTGCTTCATTTTATGTTCAGTAAGGTTGGTCCCCACTTTCTGTGGATTGCGATGAATTCCATCAGATTTCTCTCACTGTATTGTTTAGATTGGTCAACATTATTTAGTTAGTCATTAAATAGGCGGCAGGGCAGGATGCAAGCAATAATGTTAAACGTTTCACATCAATAATTCTTGAAAATTTTTGCAATAAATCTGTTTATGGATATCGTGATAAAATGACAAATTCCGTTTTTCACAGTAGTATTTTCCTCTTCCTGTTGTTACACGGGATCTAACTGATGAAACTGTGTTTGTTTATAGGCTACTACCCCAATGGCTTTCTCCTACCTGAAGATTTATTATTGTAGTTTGCTCGCTGGTGGCTAGCAGTGGGATCCGGAATTCACGTCTTGTGCCATTTGTGACTTTTCAGTTGCATAATATTTCATGCTGCCACACTTCATATCAGCATATGAAGGTAGTAGGCAGGTATACGAAAGAAATAAAGAAGAAAATAGTCGAAAAAGGTGGACCAGAAACAGAGAAAAAGATAGAATGAAACAGTTGTAAAATTCGTCATAACCATTGAAATTCAGACAATATATGAGAGCATCTACACTACCTAGGTTTCTTTACAACCATATTATCTACTGATTTCGATTGTCATAAGCGTCCTAACCAGGAAATCTGTGTTTTTCTGCATGACTCAAACAAGCAATCAAAATTTTCATGAACTGATGCCATGCTTCAGTCTAGTAACACCTAAGTCATTTAACAGTCTACAATGAACGGAATGGTCACTAAACGTATTCAACATATGACCCGCTTATCTGAGTTGATGAAGGTTAACAACCGTACCAACTATCTTACATCATCCACCTAAAACTAGGTCCGAATTTTTCGTTACCGACGTAGTGACATCAAGGCACACAGCATACTACGAAGGCAATGATAGTCGGACACCTGAAGACTTCTCATGCCCTCCACCTTTATTGGCCATGTTCTACAGCTATGCAACAGGACAGAGCGAACTGCAGTACAGCATAATCAGCCCTTATTACATAATCGGACATCAAGGCGGCACCATAAATGGCGTCAGTTGGAAAGAGCCAAATGACCCTTTTGTATGCCTACAGGGATTTCATTGGCCGCTTACGATTTCATGACAGATCCGACTTCCCAGTTAAGCGAAGTGGTTAATGCGTTCAACCACTTCACTCTCAACTGTTAAACGGGACACCATAGAAGATCAGTCTTGGAGCGACAGCTTGCATTTGAGTGGAAAACAAAGCATCCTAAACATTCTCAAACTATCAGTTAACTTGTCCTGAAGAGTCTGTATCTGACCATGATCTTCACCTAATAGGATTAAGTCACCTATGTACCCTAAATCTACTTCGAAGTCTCTCAGCAGGCACCATTCGATGCGCACAACTCGTCCTATGCCTCTAATACGCTCATCGGTGTTCGAATACAGGACCTTCATTATGGTGATGTACTTACCCAGCACTCCTTTCAATGGCAGACACTGCCAAAAGTCTTTTAGGTCAACTGATTCGAGTGCCGCCTTCACTTAATAAGGACAGATAGTGTATCAAGTATCGGCAATTAAGTCTGTGTCCCCATACTTTTTGGAGTATGGATATCTAGTCAATACACCCACAAGCAGGTCTTACACCTGTCTGGTTTACTCAGGTGCTTCAAACATACCTAGGCGTCTAATGATTTTAGAAATTAAGATCTAAGACTATGTTCTTCAGATTAACTTCTCTGTGGTTGTAGGACTTCTCTCTTCCTTCGAAGAATAGAAATATCAGTGGTGCAGGTTAGTCAGAGGAGATCACTTTAGTCGTTCAAACCAATAATCCTCGGCTACTGTCCTCAAATATTTCTGATGCTAGCCCGTCGGGGACTGCTGCCCTCAGGTTACTTACAGCCTGATTGGATGACAGAAAGGTTCTTGTGCGCTACAATCTGACTAATGGTGGATTATTTTTCCACAACTTCCATGATTAGTCTAAATAACTGCATACTTTTACTGCCATCGCGACGAATTACATCTTTTTAGCCTTCAACACTCACCACTGCTCGCAGTTATTTCGTAGACTCTGTCTTAGTCCACATATAATTTTCTTTAGCGGCGCATTGTTCTAGCTGACAACAAGAATGCTTTTGAGTGCATTCAATAGTTGAAAAAAGCTACTAGTATTCTCTAAAACTTTAATACCTGTTTCTGACGGTCATTTACTGCCTCTCATTCTCTTATTACAGGAAGCAGACTAGAGAGGCCATTAGGCTCCTCCCTGCTCTGAAAACTGACCAGCCAGTTTCTCGCTGAAACCAGCCCTAGCATTTTTATCATCGAGCTTTGCTCGGAATGATGTTGTTGCTGTTATTTTTATAAGTTCATTTAAACACAGAAATATGCATGCTTGAGGCAACGCGTGATCATTGTCCAAACACATGCTCTAGAAGGTACGGTAATCTCCGAACGACCCTTTAGAGCAATAACTGATGGCAATATGGCCAGTCTGTTCCATCACTTAGCTGAAGTCAGTAGACGCCATACCAAACTACTTCTCTCTTTATGCCTGAAGTTCGTGCCGGCTCAGCTGTAGCAGGCTATTACCATTATCTGATCGTTTGGCTGGGGTTTTCAAAGTACCATTTAAGTAATTTTCTGCCTGAGATATACTATTTATTTATGCATTGAAGTCTCCTGCTGCGACAACCACGTCTGAACTCATGTTATTCAATAGGGAGCTAGACAGTTTTCTACATCTAAGCTGTAGTCAGTCCGTGGGTGTGTGAATACAGACGGCGGCGAGTTTCACTGTAACTGTGAGGAATATTTGTAGTTGAGGTTGTGGATGTTTAGACGAAGTTGTCCCTTAAGTCAGGATTTTAGTTGGTGAATGTCTTCATCCCATGGCAGACACCGTCATCAGGGCTGCAGAAGGGTTCGATTGATTCCAATAGTTGATTTGTTTTGAGTAGAGTCATATCTTAGGTCCATGTCAGTAATGCTATTGATTACTAATTTGCTTGAGTGCTACATTGAAATGCTGGAGAATAATTGTAGCTAAAGTTAAACAACCCAGCTCAGAGAATACAACACAACCACGAGTGC